GCTTTCATGCCAAATACCTTAGCTCTAGCTCTTTGGGTTCTTTTAAAGAAGATTTTTTTAAGTTTTTACTATATGCATATAGGGAAAATCAATGACCCCCTGGGGCGGGGCCAATTTTGACCCCAGGGCTTTTATTTGAACAAACTTGGTAGACACTTACTACATGATGTTTCATGCCAAATATCTAAGCTCTAGCTCTTTGGGTTTTTTAGAAGAAGATATTTAAAGTTTTTTTCTTTTGGTTGCCATGGCAACCAGAGTTCTGCATGGAATTAAATTCTTTGAACAATTTTCAAAGGTGACCACCAAAGGAACATTCCTGTGAAGTTTGGATGAAATTGGCTTAGTGGTTTATGAGGAGATGTCATTTAAAGTCTAAATATCTTAGCTCAAACTTGGTAGACATCCATTAGAACATGTTTCATGCTAAATATCTTAGCTCTAGCTCTTTGGGTTCTTTAAAAGAAGATTTTTTAAGTTTTTACTATATGCATATAGGGAAAATCAATGACCCCCTGGGGCGGGGCCAATTTTGACCCCAGGGCTCTTATTTGAACAAACTTGGTAGACATCCATTAGAACATGTTTCATGCTAAATATCTTAGCTCTAGCTCTTTGGGTTCTTTAAAAGAAGATTTTTTAAGTTTTTACTATATGCATATAGGGAAAATCAATGACCCCCTGGGGCGGGGCCAATTTTGACCCCAGGGCTTTTATTTGAACAAACTTGGTAGACACCCATTAGAGGATGTTTCATGCTAAATATCTTAGCTCTAGCTCTTTTGGGTTTTTTAAAAGAAGATTTTTTAAGTTTTTACTATATGCATATAGGGAAAATCAATGACCCCCTGGGGCGGGGCCAATTTTGACCCCAGGGCTTTTATTTGAACAAACTTGGTAGACACCCATTAGAGGATGTTTGATGCTAAATATCTTAGTTCTAGCTCTTTGAGTTCTTTAAAAGAAGATTTTTAAGTTTTTACTATATGCATATAGGGAAAATCAATGACCCCCTGGGGCGGGGCCAATTTTGACCCCAGGGCTTTTATTTGAACAAACTTGGTAGACACCCATTAGAGGATGTTTCATGCTAAATATCTTAGCTCTAGCTCTTTGGGTTCTTTAAAAGAAGATTTTTTAAGTTTTTACTATATGCATATAGGGAAAATCAATGACCCCCCTGGGGCGGGGCCAATTTTGACCCCAGGGCTTTTATTTGAACAAACTTGGTAGACACTCACTAGAAGATGTTTCATGCCAAATATCTAAGCTCTAGCTCTTTGGGTTTTTTAGAAGAAGATATTTTAAGTTTTTTTCTTTTGGTTGCCATGGCAACCAGAGTTCTGCATGGAATTAAATTCTTTGAACAATTTTCAAAGGTGACCACCAAAGGAACATTCCTGTGAAGTTTGGATGAAATTGGCTTAGTGGTTTATGAGGAGATGTCATTTAAAGTAAAAGTTTACGGACGGACGACGGACGAAAAGCGATCACAAAAGCTCACCCTGTCACTTTGTGACAGGTGAGCTAAAAAGGAGATAACTCTTGAAACAAAGATGCAAGATGTCATACATGATGTGAGTGTAACAAAGAACAATTAGTAATGAAGGTACGAATAATGAATGTTTATTTTGAATTTGAAGTAAATGAAAGTTAAAAGAACGAATAAGAAAAATTAAAAGTTTAAGGAGGAGATAATTCTGGAAATATGGATGCTAGATTTATAAACCTTGTCATATTATTATGATGTGGGAGTTTGAAGAAAATCCTATCATGATTGAAGAAGTTGGAGTAAAAATTACCAATTTTCGAAAAAAAGTCTCAGTTCAAAAGGGGCATAATTCTGGAAATAGTCTTGCTAGAGTATTGAACTTTCTCACAAATGTTGAGTGATAATAAGAAACATATATATGAAGTTTGAAGTAGATACATTCAGAAAAAAAGAAGTTATTAAAAAAAACAATAATTTTTTCATGAAAATTTTAAGTTCAAGGGAGCTAATTCTGATAAATTTTGTGCTAGAGTTGTAAACTTTGTCACATATGATGTGGTTGATGACTAGCGACTTATATTTAAAGTTTGAAGAAAATACCTTAAGAAATAAAGAACTTATAGTGAAACAAGAGCTGTCCGTAAGACAGCGCGCTCGACTTTTTTATTGCTTGCCAATAAAAAAAGTTTTTGCAGTAAAAGGCAATACAAGAATCTCTGTATTTTTAAAGTGAACAATGGCCATGAGCATTAAGATATTTAGTGAAGAATTATTTTACTGAATTGTGTGATACCCTTGAACACTGCAGCAAAGTTTGAAATGTTTAAGTCAAAAGCAATATCTCAAAGGGTTAAGGCAATAAGTGGATTTTACCCATATTCAATGTATTTTCTAAGTCAAAAAGGGGCATAATTCTGTCAAAAACCTTGACAGAGTTATGTCCTCTTGTCTGTTGATGAAGGTCGTGATGGTAAACAAGTATGGTCAGTTTCAAAGCAATACCTCCAATGGTTTTGAAATAAAGTGAGGTGGTACAAAAAACTTAACCAAGCTCAATACACTTTCTAAGTCAAACAAGAGCTGTCCGTAAGACAGCGCGCTCGACTTTTTTATTGCTTGCCAATAAAAAAAGTTTTTGCAGTAAAAGGCAATACAAGAATCTCTGTATTTTTAAAGTGAACAATGGCCATGAGCATTAAGATATTTAGTGAAGAATTATTTTACTGAATTGTGTGATACCCTTGAACACTGCAGCAAAGTTTGAAATGTTTAAGTCAAAAGAGGGCTGGTAAGAAAGAAAAAAAAACTGAGTTGAGCCTTAAATAAATTTAATAGTATTAAACCCACTTTGAGAGAATAAGGTATTTTTACGTCACTCAGAACACCTTGGTAAATGACATAATAACATAATTTTTCAAGAAATCTATGCCAAGGAAGCAGTATATTTTTGTACAATCAGCATAATATATAGATTTGACTTTGTATGTGAAAGTATTATAGTTACCTTATAATACAAGTAATAGATAAATTTTATCAAGCTTTTTTAGATGTTGTCAGTTGGTCACAAGTGGATCTCTTTCACACAGGCTGTGGGTGACTGGTTACTTTTCGTGGGTCCATAAAAGTCGATAAAAGGCCTTAATTTTTAAAACAAATCCTTGACAGAGTTACCTTCTCTTGCGTACAGATGGGGGTAATGATGTGAAATAGCATTAAAAGTTTCAAAGCAATATCTCAAAGGGTTAAGGCAATAAGTGGATTTTACCCATATTCAATGTATTTTCTAAGTCAAAAAGGGGCATAATTCTGTCAAAAACCTTGACAGAGTTATGTCCTCTTGTCTGTTGATGAAGGTCGTGATGGTAAAACAAGTATGGTCAGTTTCAAAGCAATACCTCCAATGGTTTTGAAATAAAGTGAGGTGGTACAAAAAACTTAACCAAGCTCAATACACTTTCTAAGTCAAAAAAGGGCCATAATTCTGTCAAAAACCTTGACAGAGTTATGTACTCTTGTCTGTAGATGGAGGTTATGATGGTGAACAAGTATGGTAAGTTTCAAAGCCATACTTGTAATACTTCTGAAATAAAGTGGGGTGGTACGAAAAACTTAACCAAGGTGTGACGCCAACGCCAACGCCGACGCCGACGCCGGGGCGAGTAGGATAGCTCCCCTTTTCATAGAAAAGTCGAGCTAAAAAGGGCCATAATTCTGTCAAAAACCTTGACAGAGTTATGTACTCTTGTCTGTAGATGGAGGTTATGATGGTGAACAAGTATGGTAAGTTTCAAAGCCATACTTGTAATACTTCTGAAATAAAGTGCGGTGGTACGAAAAACTTAACCAAGGTGTGACGCCAACGCCGACGCCGACGCCGACGCCGGGGCGAGTAGGATAGCTCCCCTTTTCATAGAAAAGTCGAGCTAAAAACTTAAAAACTAGAATCAGAAATCTTGAAATTCAGTCTATTTGTTGCCATAGCAACCAGAATTTTCAACATAGGAAGATAAGAAAAGAATGTGCATAATTTCCAGACTGCAATCTACCCATATGTCAAGTTTCATAAAAATATTTTCAGTACTTTTTGCGTTATCACTGGATCCTGGTTATGTGTAAAATTTGCCATATTTTCAGTCTATTTGTTGCCATAGCAACCAGAATTTTCAGCATAGGAAAAAAAGGAAAAGACGTGCATAATCTCAATACTGCCATCTATCCATATATCAAGTTTCATAAAAATATTTTCAGTACTTTTTGCGTTATCGCGGAATACAGGTTATGTGTAAAATTTGCCATATTTTCAGTCTATTTGTTGCCATAGCAACCAGAATTTTCAGCATAGGAAAAAAAAGAAAAAAACGTGCATAATCTCAATACTGCCATCTATCCATATATCAAGTTTCATAAAAATATTTTCAGTACTTTTTGCGTTATCGCGGAATACAGGTTATGTGTAAAATTTGCCATATTTTCAGTCTATTTGTTGCCATAGCAACCAGAATTTTCAGCATAGGAAGAAAAGAAAAAGACGTGCATAATCTCCATACTGCCATCTATCCATATATCAAGTTTCATAAAAATATTTTCAGTACTTTTTGCGTTATCGCGGGATCCAGTTTTGTGGACGGACTGACGGACGGACGGACATTCTTACCAGAGCTACATTATGGGGTTTTCTTTTGTTATTTCTTTTGTTCTTTTTAACCCCACAATGCAGAAAATAACCCCACAAGAGAAACGGAATGAATGACATCAAAGACATCTATTGTTATGAGAACAATAGACCAAACCCCATAATGTAGCTCTGGTTTGTACGGACGGACAGACGGACTGACAGACGGACGGAGGGTAAACCTAAAGTCCCCTCCGGTAAACCGGTAGGGGACTAATTATGTGCACACTAAGACACACACATACATACTAACAAAAATAGGGACAGGGCAAACACTATAATTATGTAATAGACGAAGCCAACAGCTTATCTTATAAAATACATAATATATTATACCGGAATACTATCCTGAAGATAAAACTGATGATCTGATAGAGAGCACTGAAGTCTTAGTTCTAATAACTGTTTGAGTGTAGCTAACGGTTCTGCAATATCCATGTGCTGTATTATCAAATTCTGATACTGAGGTGCTGGAAGCTGACCAATTACCTCTTCTTGTATAACAACACTGAAAGTCAAAAGAAATTAGTAAGCAAGCACAGTCTGCGAAATAACTTTTTATAATAAACAAGCAGTTCTAAAGGACAGCTAAATCCCCTACCTCAGCAACATGATTGTGTATTTCTTCACCTTTAACAAACCATGACCTTGATATTGTGCCATGCATATCATAAGCACATTTGCTCATCACAAGTCTGTTTCAATTATTGGCCAATTATCTTCCACATTCATGGGTAATTTTAGACTTCATATATTGACAAATTTCTTACATATTTGTTTGTATCATGCTTTAGGCAAAATTGCTGTTCCGTGGGCTTTATTAGGGATTTAAATTCCATTCCTCTGCTAGTATTTACAAGTAGATATTGATGCAGGAGGAGTACAAAATGGTAGAAATTTGCTTGTCCGACAGGACAAGTGAAAATTTGCCAATGTAATAGGAAGCTAGAATTTTCTAAATCAGTTTGTTTATTTTCAACGATGGAAAACTGGAAACAGCTTGTGTTTTAGGTAATGTATAAATTGCCCTCTTTATGCATTGCTAATTGGATACAGATGTGACTGGAAAGTGCCCAACAATGCTCTATAAAGTTCTCTATTTACACACAACCTAAACATAAAGTGTGTTTCCGGTTTCGGTTCGTTAAATTTGTGTGAACAAACTGATTATGAAAATTTCTAGCTGTCGACTGCATCGACAAGGTTCTAATGCATCTGGAAATTTTATTTTGACAAGAAGGCCATGATGGCCCTGAGATGGCTCACTTGTATATAGGCCCTCTGGGTGGGGCCAATTTTAACCCAGGGGCTTTTATTTGTAAAAAAAAACTTGGTAGACACCCATTAGAAGATGTTTCATGATAAATATCTACAGGGTTCATACAGACCATCCAGGACAAAATTCAAGGAGTTTTCAAGGACTTTTCAAGGACTTTTTCAAGTATTTCAAGGACTAAAATATGTGAAACACTAAAGACAAATATGTGTAAAAGGGCGACAATGTATGAAATTAGTGTTTTACATGCAAATACCTGTTGAAGTACTATCAAATTTATGAAGTTTTTTCTAAGTGTGCAAGATTTTGCAGTAGTTGCTTCAGAGGGTGGGAGTGGTATTGTCAGATTATTGTTATTGTCATCTTTATTCAAGATAGTACTTGCACCTAAACTGAAGAAGCTAGTTACATTGTATATCCTGATTACATTCTCTCGCTGTTGAGTGTTGTGAATTGTTTCTCACTTTAATGTGCGATTTTATAGCGCTTTCACCCATTCCTGAAACGTCTATAACCTTATCACGAGCGCTACACATCGCCTTTCTTTAATCACCCTTGAATTCTTTAATGAAAGGGTATTTTTCTACACATTTTGGCGAGAAATTACACTTCTTCATTTTTTGATGAATAACCCAAACCGGTCCGTGAAATTTACACGTCATGAATATTTCAATCGTGTATAAAAGCCAATACCCGTTCCGTACCGTCTTACTATCTCGTTACGAAGTCGTTTTTTTTTTAAATTGATGTATATTTGAGTTTTCTTTTGTTTTTTTTTTTTTTTTTGGCCGCTGTTTTACTCATTTTAGTCGTTTTGTGGTACTTTATGAGGAATTTGTGGATTATTGAACAAAATTCACAAGTTTCCTGTAAAATTCAAGGAGTTTTCAAGGACTTTTTCCCTGGACAAAATTCAAGGAGTTTTCAAGGACTAACCACCAAATTCAAGGACTTTTCATGGCCTGTGCGAACCCTGATCTAAGCTCTACCTCTTTGTTTTTTTTACAAGAAATTTTTTAAGTTTTTACTATACACATATAGGGAAAACAATGACCCCCTCACACAGGGCAGGGCCAATTTTGACCCCAAGGATTTTATTTGAACAAACTTGGTAGACACTTACTACATGATGTTTCATGCCAAATATCTAAGCTCTAGCTCTTTTGGTTTTTTAAAAGAAGTTTTTCTTTCGGTTGCCACGGCAACCAGAGTTCTGCATGGAATTAAATTCTTTGAACATTTTTTAAAGTTGAGCACCAAAGGAACATTCCTGGGAAGTTTGGATGAAATTGGCTAAGCAGTTGATGAGGAGATGTTGTTTAAAGTAAAAGTTTACAGATGCCCGACGGACAGACAGATGCCAGAAGAAAAGCGATCAAAAAAGCTCACCATGTCACTTTGTGATAGGTGAGCTAAAAAACAAAGATGTCACTGGTTCCCATACAGTGTGTGAGATGTCTGTCCTTTTCAAAGATTATTGTAACGAAATCCATGATATTTCTGCCATGCAACTTTTGGTTGTCTGGATCTTTCTTATACGATATACAGTCGAGACTGTCATAATTATGTGACATTCCAAGGGAACCTCAGAAAAAGGTCACATATGACAGGGAGTCTCTTAATACAGTCTCATAGAAAATTAAAATTTAAATACCATCTATCTGTCTATATACCATTGTGACTTAACATATACATATATAACTATTTGAAGGAATAATATCTAACCAATTGCAAATAAACATAGGTACTTTAAATATTTGTTGTAAATAAAATAAGAATCTCTGTAAAGCAAATATAAGCGCATGTTTATCATATAAATTTAATTTTATTTTTTGTATTAGATTTATATTGAATCATTATGGTACAAAATAAACCTGAATTTGATGCATTCAGATCCTTAAAATATATGTCATACTTTGGAAAAGATATCCATATCCAAAGTTTTTTCTGGTCTGGTATAAACATTTTTCCGTATTATTCATGCAGCCATTGAAAGGTAAATTAAAACAAGAGGGCCATGATGGCCCTGAAGTCGCTCACCTGTATATAGGCCCCTGTAGCGCGGCAAATTTAAACCCCAGGGCTTTTATTTGAACAAACTTGGTAGACACTCATTAGAAGATGTTTCATGCTAAATATCTAAGGTCTAGCTGGTCAAGGTTTTTCTTTACACATATAGTTAAAAACAATGACACACCTGGGACAGGGCCAGTTTGAACCCAAGGGCTTTTATTTGAACAATCTTTGTAGACACTTACTAAAAAATAGTTCATGCTTAATATCTGAACTCTAGCTATTCGGATTTTTTGAAGAAGATTTTTAAGTTTTTGCTATTCACATATAAGGAAAATCAATGACCCCCGGGGTGGGGCCAATTTTGACCCCAGGGCTTTTATTTGCACAAACTTTGAAGACACTTACTAGAAGATGTTTCATGCTTAATATCTAAACTCTAGCTATTTGGATTTTTTCAAAGAAGATTTTTAAGTTTTTGCTATACACATATAAGAAAAATCAATGTCCCCAGGGGCGGGGCCAATTTTGACCCCATGGCTCTTATTTGAACAAACTTTGTAGACACTCACTAGAAGATGCTTCGTGCTTAATATCTAAACTCTAGCTATTTGAGTTTTTTCAAAGAAGATTTTTTAAGTTTTTGTTATACACATATAAGGAAAATGAATGACCCCCGGGGCGGGGCCAATTTTGACCCCAGGGCTTTTATTTGAACAAACTTGGTAGACACTCACTAGAAGATGTTTCATGCTTAGTATCTAAACTCTAGCTATTTGGTTTTTTTCAAAGAAGATTTTTTAAGTTTTTGCTATACACATATAAGGAAAATCAATGACCCCCGGGACGGGGCCAATTTTGACCCCAGGGCTCTTATTTGAACAAACTTGGTAGACATCCATTAGAACATGTTTCATGCTAAATATCTTAGCTCTAGCTCTTTGGGTTCTTTAAAAGAAAATTTTTTAAGTTTTTACTATATGCATATAGGGAAAATCAATGACCCCCGGGGCAGGGCCAATTTTGACCCCAGGGCTTTTATTTGCACAAACTTGGTAGACACTCATTAGAAGATGTTTCATGCTAAATTTCTTAGCTCTAGCTCTTTGGGTTCTTTAAAAGAAGATTTTTTAAGTTTTTACTATATGCATATAGGGAAAATCAATGACCCCCTGGGTCGGGGCCAATTTTGACCCAAGGGCTTTTATTTGAACAATCTTGGTAGACACTCACTAGAAGATGTTTCATGCCAAATATCTAAGCTCTAGCTCTTTGGGTTTTTTAGAAGAAGATATTTAAAGTTTTTTGTTTTGGTTGCCATGGCAACCAAAGTTTTGCATGGAATTAAATTCTTTGAACAATTTTCAAAGGTGACCACCAAAGGAACATTCCTGTGAAGTTTGGATGAAATTGGCTTCAGTAACTGATCTTCAATATGTGAAGTTTTAATGAAATCCCTTTCAATTCTCTTCAGCTTATTCTCTGGACAAAAGTGTGACAAGGCATTAACTATATGCTCTCCATGAAAAATTTTTACAGCTCCAAGTATAACTAAATGTTGAAATTTGAGTCCAATGAATCAACAACAAAAGAAAGTAATCATATGCTGGGTAAATTTTTTAAAGTATGTACTTAAAATAATATACAGACCAGAAAGAAATGTAATCCAAACTCAGGTTAAAAGGAAATTTATATTTTATAATGAAACCCCTGATAAAAGGTTATTGCTACCAAATAGATACAAACATACTTATCTGCCAGTTCCTGAACATCATTTGAATCTTGCATGATTTCAGCAGAATCATCTTGTATAATCTGTGATTCTTCAACTGACAAATTTGAATTTTCCTGAAATCAGAATAGGCAGAGCTCCAGAGATTTTTGCATTTTTTTATAATAAACAAATTTAACTGATTGTTTTTTGTTGTTGATTGTTTTTTGTTGTTTTTCTTTCTTTTTCATTTTTTTAGAAACTTTTACAAATAAAATACTGATTCAATGTGAAAGAATACAAAACATGCTCTGTAAAGTCAGCCTTCCCTAGGCTAGGCAGAATATACTGGTACTCAAGTTTAGGATACACAGCAAAATTATTTCATATTAGGAGTCATTAATATTTTTCTTTTATGTCTGTTGGCATGTACCTTCATATTTTTCCATGTACTCCAGTTTGAACAATATAGTTGAAATTAGAATTACAGAAAAATAAACTAGAACTATCACTAAATGTGATTAATATCCCTGCAAGACTGCTTGGGAAATGAGGAAGTTACTAGTAACAGAATATCTTGTAAAAGAACTGAAATAGAGTTATGTTTGTGGGCAATTAAAGTTCGTTGTGGTTCTTGTATGTTGCATTTCCTTTCAATGTGGTTGACCATTTTGATGAAGTTTTATTGAATTACTCTGTAATAAATCCAAAAAGAGTAAAGCTTCTTGAGCACTGCACTTCCTCTCATTGTGCTTGACCATTGAATGAACTTTCATTGAATTCTAAACATTAGTTTTTAAGTTATACACCTGATAAGGAAAAGGAACAAAGGGCAATAACACTACAAATACTGAAGATGGAGTTATGGTTATTGTACACTGCACTTCCTCTCATTGCGCTTGATCATTGTATGAAGTTGTATTGAATTCCAACTGCACTGGACAAAAAAAGTAACAAAGGGCAATAACAGTAATAGAGTTATGGTTCTTGTGCACTGCACTTCATCTCACTGCCCTTGACTATTGTATGAAGTTTGTTGGAATTCCAACCATTAATTTTCAAGTTATGCACTGCCACAAGACAATAAAAAGTAACGAAGGGCAAAAACTCTTAAATGAGTCAAGAAAGAGTTATGGTTTCAGTGCACTGCGCTTTCTCTCAATATACTTGACCATTTTATGAAACTGTATTGAATTCCAACTAGTAGTTTTAAAGTTAAGCTCTGGACAAGAAACAAGAGGGCCATGATGGCCCTGAAGTCGCTCACCTGTATATAGCCCCCCCCCCCCCGGGCCGATTTTAACCTCAGGGCTTTTATTTGAACAAACTTGGTAGACACTCATTAGAAGATGTTTCATGCCAAATATCTAAGCTCTAGCTCTTAAGGTTTTTTAAAAGAAGATATTTAAAGTTTTTTTCTTCGGTTGCCATGGCAACCAGAGTTCTGCATGGAATTAAATTCTATGAACAATTTTTAAAGGTGACCACCAAAGGAACATTCCTGTGAAGTTTGGATGAAATTGGCTTAGTGGTTTATAAGGAGATGTCATTTAAAGTAAAAGTTTACGGACGGACGACAGACGGACGCCGGAGGAAAAGCGAACACAAAAGCTCACCCTGTCACTTTGTGACAGGTGAGCTAAAAAGCAATGAAAAGTAACAAAGAGAAATAACTCTATAATTACACTGGACAGTGTTATGGTTCTTGTGCACTGCACTTCCTCTTATTGTGCTTGACCATTGTATGAAGTTGTTTTGAATTCCAACCAGTACTTTACAAGTTATGCTCCGGACAAAGAAAAGTATCAAAGTATCAATAACTCTGTAATTTGTCAAAATGGTGTTATTGTTCTTGTGCACTGCAATTCCTCTTAAAGATCCTGTATGTTTTGATATTGTCCTAATTGATATTGTTACTGTGTGTACACCACACTTGCTGTTTGTTTGTTTCATTTTACGCCTTTTCTCAACAGTATTTCAGTCATATAGCGGGTAGTTTCCTAACCATTGTTCCTGGAGAGTAACACCAGTACTAGACTACCTTCCTCCTTGCTAAACTACCAAAGCATCTCCCAGGGATTGAACCCACACCAGAGAGGTAACTGGATTAGAAGTCATCAACACAATCCCCTCGACCACGGAGGCGTAGTATACCACACTTGCAAAAAATTATATGTGTATATAATTATGCAAACAAAACAATTTTCAAACATCGAAGAATATGTAAAATGTGTACTGCAAATATTTGTGCACATAATATTACTCAATGAATCATATGCATTCCTTTCTTATTGGAAAAAATGACTTAGAATTTATAGAAAATTAATTTCTAACTAGACCTATCACTGAAGGTGATTAATACCCCCACCAGCAACTTCTGACTTTTTGAAAAAAACGTAGTCTGAAGAAAAATTTGAACACAAACTATCAACTGTGTACAAAGAAATATTTCAATTAATTTTAATCGCAACTGGGGTCTCAAAATAAGCTTGCTATATACCAAGTTTGATAACAATATTTCATTCCTAACTCTAGTTATTGTCCGGAAACCATTTTTCTATTTTTAGTAACACTGTTAACGGTGACCTTGACCCTAGGGGGTCCAAATGCAATACCAACCCAGGTCTTCATATAAGCTTCCTTTACACCAAATTAGATTACAATATCTCATTCCTAACTCTAGTTATTGTCCGAAAACCATTTTTCTATTTTTCCTTACAGTGACCTTGACCTTGACCCCAGGGGGCCCAAATGCAATACCAACCCAGGTTTTCATTTAAGCTTGAAATACGCCAAGTTTGATAACAATATCTCATTCCTAACTCTAGTTATTGTCCGGAAACCATTTTTCTATTTTTAGTAACAGTGACCTTGACCTTGACCCCATGGGGTCCTAATGCACTACCAACCCAGGTCTTCATTTAAGCTTGCTACACACCAAGTTTGATTACAGTATCTCATTCCTAAGTCAAGTTATTGTCTGGAAACCATTTTTCATAACGGTGACCTTGACCTTGTCCCAAGGGGGCCCAAATGCAATACTAACCCAGGTTTTCATATAAGCTTGATATACGCCAAGTTTGATAACAATATCTCATTCCTAACTCTAGTTATTGTCCAGAAACCATTTTTCTGTTTTTAGTAACAGTGACCTTGACCTTGACCCCAGGGGGTCCAAATGCAATACCAACCCAGGTCTTCATATAAGCTTGCTATACACCAAGTTTGATAACAATATCTCATTCCTAACTCTAGTTATTGTCCGGAAACCATTTTTTTATTTTTAGTAACGGTGACCTTGACCTTGACCCTAGGGGTCCAAATGCAATACCAACCAGAGTTTCCACATAAGGTTGCTATACACCAAGTTTGATTACAATACCTCATTCCAAACTCTAGTTATTGTCTGGAAACCATGATGTTGACCGACCGACGGACCGAATGACTGACCGACCGACAAACCGACCGACCGACAAGCTGACTCCTATATACCCCCCCCCAAAACTTCGTTTGTGGGGGTATAATTATCTCCCTTTATTTACATGAAACATTAAATTTGGTAATATCTTTATAAATAATGCTTATTGGAACTTACAATATTGACAAAGCTTAATTTAAGCATTATATTTATGAAATAAAACCATGAAAAAATTGTGTTACAGGATCTTTAATGTGCTTGACAATTGTATGAAGTTGTATTGAAATCAACAAGTAGTTTTTAAGTTATGCTCTGGACAAGGAAAAGTAACAAAGGGCAATAACTCTGTAATTAGTCAAGATGGAGTTATGGTTCTTGTGCACTGCACTTCCTCTTAATGTCCTTGATCATTGTATGAAGTTGTATTGAATTCAAACAATTAGTCTTCAAGTTATGCTCCAGACAAACAAGAGGGCCATGATGGCCCTAGATCGCTCACCTGACCCATCGAATTCATCAGAACAATTACCTAGACAAGCATTCTGACCAAGTTTCATGACAGGTGAGCCAAAAATGTGACCACTAGAGTGTTATCAAGGATTATCCATATTTGAGCAGTGTGACCCAGGTGACCCATATTCAAACTTGACCTAGAAATCATGAAAACAAACTTTCAGACCAATTTCCAGGACATTTGGATCAAAACAGTAGCCACTAGAGTGTTAATAAGATTTTTCTAGTTTTAACTCCTATGACCAAGTTTTTCATCCGAGATCACCCATGTTCGAACTCATCCAAGCAATGACCTAGTCAAGCATTCTGACCAAGTTTGATGATAATTGAGTCAAAAATGTCACCACTAGAATGTAAACAAGGTTTTTCCATATTTGGTCAGTGTGACCTAGTTTTTGACCCCAGATGACCCATATTCAAACTTGACCTAGAAATCATCAAAACAAACTTTCAGACCAATTTACAGGATATTTGGATCAAAACTAGAGTGTTAACAAGATTTTTCTATTTTTAGCTCCTGTGACCTAGTTTTTCAACTTATACTCCGGACAAGGAACAGTAAAAAGGGCAATAACTCTGTAATTAGTGAAGATGGAGTTATTGTTCTTGTGCACTGCACTTCCTCTCAATGTGCTTGACCATTGTATGAAGTTGTATTGAATTCTAATCATTAGTCTTCAAGTTATGTTCCGGACAAGGAAAATGCAACGGACGGCTAGACCGACCGACCGTCCACCGAGTGACTCCTATATACCTATTGTAATATACACAATATAATAATTATATACCTTTTTATGTGTGGTGACCTATTTTTGACCTTAGATGACCCTTATTCAAACCTGATATATATTGACTGATTGATATATATTGACCACCAAACAGTGCAACATGCTTTTTGTGGTCCTCGAAAACAGTGATAAACAAATGGATTTAATATATGAATATGTTGGATAATTTTATATCTTTGAATTCCTTAGAATTTTCTTCATAAAACTACAGTGTTGATATTGAATAATATTCACTAGCAAAATTAAAAATTAGTGAAAACTAATGAAAAAAATAGTCATAAAAGGAAATAAAGGATTAACTAGGACTTAAAATTGCATACATTGCATTCCTTCTAATCAGTAACAAGATTGTGTTTATAAGGATATAAATTTTAATAGACTTAAGTGTTAACAACAACAATGACTAATCAGTCTTCCA